AAAAAAAAAAAAAATAAAGAAGAATAAGTAAATAAAAAATATTAAGCAAAAAATAAATAAAAAAATAAAAACAGCAGTTAAAAAATAACTTTCTTTTTGCACTTTTTCCCCAAACTGTTCTGCAAAATTAAATTTGATAACAATTAATAAATTGACTAAGCACTAAATCATTTAAAAACACACAAACACACATACGAAAAAATGCCAAATTATTTTTACATTTCCCTACATTCATTTCTTTTTTTCATATCACCACATATCAATTTTAAGTGACACCAAGCAAACAACAGAAAAAAAAAAGACCAAAGAATAGTAATCCTGAAACTGAAACTGTATTTTTTTTTTTCGAATGTTTTACAGCTAAGCAAAATCAGTTCAGGAAGCAAATGATATCAATAAAACTTGAAATAAGGCAGGAAAAAGTTATAAATATTGAAAAGTTGAAAACCTAACTTGCATTTCTAACTGAATAAGAAAGGAAAGGGATATTGCAGCAAAATAAAAAACTAAGAAATTTTGACTACTCAATTGGGATAAACGATTTATTTTGCCGATTATTGTGAGAGTAAAATAAGCACCTTCAGAAAACAGTATAGAACTTCTTTCCAGCACTGTCCAAATTATTTGGGTGCAAAATTTGTTAACATGAAAACTCTCACGTTATTTCTCTGTTTTCATTCATTAGAAGTCGCATAAAATACACTCTCAAAAACGTCGTTTTCGAATCCAAAAAAAAACTACCATTATTAGATGGCAGTTTCTACAAAGTTTATGCAGCATTTTATGCGTTCAGCGTAATTTTTTAAAAAATTTACTAAACTGTTGCAAACTTTTTTTTTTTTTTTTTGACTGAATGCGTGAAAATGATTGTTACTCAAAGGTTTGAGTATAATAGGCCTAAGCATAATAGAAAGTCATCATTAAAGCACACCGATAACAGGTTTCTAAATTAAGATTTCACTGTTGCTCCTGCCGCAAGAAATAAAAATAAAAGTGAAGAAAGGAAAAGAAGAAAAAACTGGATTTCTAGATTAAGCTAGCGCCACAGAAGTAGAAACAAACAAGACTTTAAGCCATTTTTGATTATGAACAGTTGCTGCCTTTTCACTGCCCTTCAACTTCCAGTATTCCCAATCGCTGTCCTAGTATCCGGTTTGTTATCCGAGCGCCTATTATGGAATTTCTCACTCACGGCTCAAGCACCGTCTACAAGATTTGCGAAAAAAAACATTTAGTCTATTAACTTTTGCGTAACTATTTGCCTATTTCAATATTAATCAGAAAACTATTATAAGTTTACTATCGTCTCTTATGTGTATATATGCTTCTGATAGTTGCTTACTTCTAAAAAATAAATTGGGATGACAACTCATTTTGCCCATATACTTGTGCCAAATAAAGAATTGTATAAAAGCTGACATGACTTTCCTCAATTTTTTTGCATTATTTTTAAAAAAAGTTTCATGCTAAGTCTGCAAATCTTCACATGTTTCTTTGTTGTGCCGTAATATATTAGCAATTTTTTAGCACTTTTAACAGTGTAAAAGCTTTTTACGGCACAGTGGAAGCAGGTTGTGGAAAGCCAAAAATTCTTAGAGACATAGAGAAGACTTGAGAAAGTAGCGAGCAGATAAAACAAGTATAAACCAGTGGTTGCTAAATTAAACATAGAATAAATTCAATAAAAATGGTCTTTTTTTTTGTGTGTGTGTGATAGCATTTTTAGCTAGCTTTAAAAACAATTACTGAATTACTTCAAAAAATTTTTTAAACTTAATTTATCAAAAATAATCATTGGCATATTGGAGAAGGAGTGTGGTGACAGATAAATGTGGATTAATAAACTGATCGAAACATATCATTAAGCAATTATTATATTCAATGTTCAATGATAATTTAGCCATTACGTTCGCTGCAACTATCTGCCAAAATGTTGAAAGCTCTTAGTTTTTGCTTTTTAGAATGTATACGGTAGAAAATATTTGATCAGTTTAAGTGTAAAGATTGCCAACTACATTATCAATTAGACATACAAAATTTAACAGTTAGCTATTTGTTTCTGACTCTTACAAAAGATTTTTATACAACACTGTTTTCATGGCAGATTTAGCATTAATTTATCCACAAAAAAAAAAAAAAAAGCAATCAGTCAGTTGTTTAAATTAAAATTGACAGTACAGAAAAGTAACAATTTTTAAAATCATTGGTGAAAAAAAAAAAATAATAATAATAAGTACAGGCAGTGTACCATTGATAACATCTGTCAAATAAGTGGATAAAAAAAAACTGTGGAGTATTACAGATCACAGTATATGTAAGGTAGGTTGGAGCACTGATAATTGAACGATGTCGATCAAATGCTTTGGCACATTAAAAATAAAGGATGAAAAAAAGCAGAGTCTAGTAATTTTGGTGACAACCTGTTCTTGCACTTCATTATTCGTTATTTCTCTTATATCCAATCTACTGCTTGGTTATTTTTCTACTTCTCCACTTTTTTTCAACGATTGCCAAAGTCATTTTTTTTTTTTTTTTTGGCTTTCTCTTTTTTACCTCTTTTAATGACCCTTCTCTTCAATGTCTTCCATCTTCAAGCCAATACTAACTTTAAACTGTCAAATATTCTTTCCAAATTAAAACAGAAAAAAAAAAAAAACAAAAACAAAACGAAACATCTGAAAGATAAAAAAGTTGTAATCTTTTCATACATTGGCTTATTTATACCATTCGCATTCTAAACCAACTTTTCACCTTTCACCCAGCAGTCTTACCTCTATTGTTCATGTCAGTTTTCACAGATTTTTTGTTTTTTTTATCAAAACTTCTTAACAATTCAAATTCACTTCAATTAGATAGGTTAATTTCAACTAACCACATTTTCGCTTTCAAATTTCCAACTCACCATTATCACTTTCTTCAGCCACCAACACAAATTTGATATAAGATGCACATATTTATCATCAAGCTGCTTAAGAAATTTTATAAATTCTGCCAATTATAACGAAGAATGGTTA